ACCGATGGTGTACCTTGAAACCAGATGTTGATCTTGAGATGTCACAGGGCGACACCATTATTAGAAGAGTTAATCGAATTCTGTCTGTATACTGAAAAATATCAGCGGTATCTGCAAAAGCGACTCCATCTGGACACCGAGTCATGCGGAGGAGTTCACTGGGTTAATGAAACCTGAGGGCTTGAGAAAAGATGTCTCGAAATCAGTAAAGTATCCTGCGACCATTCGTAGGCTCTGCCAGCCCTGTGCTTTATTTGCTGACATCAAACCTTTCGCACTAGTCGTTTTAAGTAATTTGGAATAACATGAGCGAGAGCACATAACTGAACTTCTTGCACAATGAGATGTACGGATTGAGGAAAAGGGGGTTAGCATCTCGAAGTTGACTTTGGGGAAGTGCTCTTCTATCCGAAGATTAAAATTCCGATAAAAATAAACTACTCCACTTTTATCAGTGTATCAGACGTTTCATGACCGAAAACAAAAGGCCCGAGGGTGACATACATGTCACAGCTGGGAACCACGTATTTGTTCACAACATCTGTTGAGCTGTGGTTCATCTATTCGCTGTTCCCTGAAAACGATGAGAACAAGAGTGGTGAATCTGGTCAAATGATATACATGATGTTGCTCGGCTTAGCACCACGCCTATGCTATTGGGATCTCATGTAATTGGTCACTCCCAGTTCCAAGGATTAGATTGCTGGTTCCCCTAAGGTGAAAGGTGACCGCAGGGTTCATTCCATTCACTACTCATCACTGAGATGTGCAATAGAATGTACATGAAGAATAAAACATGTTATATTATTATTACTGTTTACTTTCAGTGTATTCGTTTCACTCTTTCTGGGCTTAGTGTTTTACACAGTACGTCAACAACTGTGCAAAAATCTTACATGACAGTTGGTGCCATCTGTTTGCCTCTGGATACTGGTTGGGTGATCTAAATATTACAAGGTCAGTGCCTTTTTCTGTGGCCTCAGCTCAACTGGTAGAGCGTGCGCTGTACAAAGGCGTCTAACCCCACCAAGGCTGCTGGTCGTATCGCAACCCAAAAGTTGATGCGATAGTCTATGGCTAATTCGATTCAACAGATCAGTCTAATATTTTATAACCCACGTACACTTATCATTCCTCGTTTCGTTCTTTCCAAATGATGAATTCGTAATTTCCACCTTTCATCTCCTCCTCAATATTCCAATTGAATTAGCGTATTCGGAAACTTACCTATTCCATACCCCAAACGTGAGTTTATCTCGGATGACGACGCCGAAGACAAGCAGGCCGGTGCTGCCGCAGCCGGTCCAGGAGTGGGAGGAGAAAAGAACATAGGCCAACCGAATGTCCAGGCAGCTAATCGAGTCCCAGCCGCACAACAACAGCAACAACAACAGCAGCAACAACAAACTGGACAACCGCAACATTCGGGTATGCACCATACCTCAGCACATCAATCCCAACAAAGAAACGCAGCAGGCGGTACCGGTGGTGGAACATCGCTCCAACAGCAAACGCAACAACAATCGTCGCATGGACAAGGCGGTACGTCGAATCCGCATTTACGACAGATTCAGGTATGTGGTTGCTGTGTCACGAACATGAATACTCTCCGAGTTCCCCAGTTCGTTCGAACTTCGTACCGGGTCGATCAGTTAGGATATGAACAACATTCAAGCAAACATAAAACAACAAAATGGGTTTTTAGTCTAACGGAGATAGTTACCAGCCATCCCATTAGGAATGTATTCTTCTCCCAAAAGAATCCATCTCAATATAATTTACTCAGTTCGCACCTTACCAATCTAATCGACATTCAAAGGTTTACCGTTTTAGCCGCGCGTCACGATCGTTTCTGATTCAGGCCTACTTGAATGATTTAGAGTCAGGCGGTCTTCAATCTATATGTGTCTGTCCTACATGTACCGTGTACTCTTCCAAACTTCCTTACAGTTCGATTATCATTCATCCCACAGCTTCATGTATTCAATTGGTCTGATCTTTTGCGTTTTTCTGGTGTCTGCGATCACACCCGACCTCCCATTCCTCCCCACAAGCTATAATTACGTTCACGGAGTGTAACAGTCATTGAGTCCAGTCAAGTTAAGGAATCGATTTTTGGCCCCGATGAACCAATATTCAGCAACCACATAACCGCTGTGTCGAACAATTAGAAATATAATACAGTAATCTAGAAATAAATGAACGACAACAACAATAAATGGCACACCAAAGCATTTATGGTCAAATTAGATTAGCATCTTGTGCAGATTAACCGCAATGAGTTCATGATTCGTGACAAATCTAGCTGGATACGGAACAGTAGAATGCCTGTAGTTCTCAGTCGATGCTTTCCCAAGTCTATAACCAGAACGGTTGGATAAACGAGAAAGGCACCAACTCAGATCAGGATCTAAGGGATGAGAGCCTTCAGATAAAATATTCTGGGAGAGTGTTTTACAGGCTTTGAAGTGATGTGCTACAACGTGCTGTGCTCTCTTCTTTTTCCAGGAATGAATTAAATGCCGAATACACTCCGATGCTACCCGTTCTCTCTGTCTCTCTTTCAGTCCTTTGAGTATCCAATATGGCATCTGTAACCCGCGCTTCATTGAAGTCTTATTATAATGACTAGTTTATTGCATGTTTTATGTGCATTAAAAATTGCAGTGTTCATTATCACGCAAAGTGTCATCCGCATCAATTTCACATCGTTCGTGTGTAGTAGGTGTCAAAACAGTACAGCTAATCGGCTTCTCATTCTCTAGTCCTGTCCATTTTGCTTACCCAGTACTCACAATTCGTTCCATTTGTTTCTTCC